TTCAATAACCAACAATAATTACAATTTCAATATATCATATGCATATACCAACATCAATCCCAAGCGTGTTATTCCATAATCTATGCCTATAACACATTTAATTCACAAAGACACGATATAAACACATAACATGCCCACATAACATCATTTTTCAAAAAATTACAAGTTAGCAATTTCTACACACCAATTCAAGGTAGAATTAATTTTTTTATCCATTTTCAATACTCATTTCGTCAATTTAACAACAGTAGGCAAGTGTTACACATCTCTAACAACCTACCCATTCTATATCATAACCCTAGGCTGGAAATAAATCTAGTTAGGGAGAAAACCTTACCACTTGAAGTGTAAAATAATGATAGAAAGCTTCAAGAATCCCAAATCACGCCTAAACCCTTGATTTCTCCAAGCCCCATTCATTGGGACTTCATCCAAATCCGTGATTTTTTGGTATAATTGCATAGCCCTCGATGAGAAAAACAACTTTTGTTCTTGACTTGGGTCGATTGAAGCGACATAGAGACGTAGATCATAGAGAGAAGGGGTGAAACCCTTGCTCTTTCTCTCTCTTCTTCCTCTCTCTTTTCTAATGGGTAAAAGGCTGAGAATTGGGGAAGAAATCAGATTTTTTTCCCTTTTTATACTCTTCAAATACTTGGTTCTCATTCAGCCACACATTCTCTTTTTTCGGATCTAGTTTTGACCCGAATCGATTAAATTTTCGTCCTAGTTTAAGTTCAAAATATTTTTATATGAACTAGCTTTAAATTATTTTTTAAATTTCAAAATTTTATTCCATATTTCATTTTTAGGTCACATGACACTTGATCACCTTGTAAAATGTGAAAAATTCGATTGTCTCGGAATTCGATGAAAACTGACTGACTAACTAGATTTCATGATACGAATCCAACGGTGAGGTCCTTTTTGTCACCCTCGAGTTCTAAAAAAATTTGGGTTTTTCAACCCGTACCATAGTGACAAATTACTATTTTGCTCTTTTTTAAAAAAATTCAAAATTACCTGAATTTTACAGTAACCATTAAGAATAGGCATAACAACCTTGCAATGTCATCAACGTCATTTTTTGGTTGTTCCATTTGCTACTTCAACCAGCTTACTCTTTATCAAAGTTGAGGTTATCCTGACATCCTTCTTGAATCTTCGTTTAACAAATTTTGTATTTTCCTTCCCATGAGTTGATGAATCAATTGGATCACAACCATCTTCAATCCCAAAGATTATTTTGACATCATTTCTTCGCAATTTAATTTCCTCCCCACCTATATGAAATTTGGATGTATTAACATAAAAGCACCATATCACATCCTATATGTTACTATCACTCTTTCTACACCATATCTTGTTTAATTTTTTTTATCAATGATACTTTGAAAGAGTAACCAAAATAGGGTTTTTCTCAATGTATCATTGTGTGCTTCAATTATCTTAATGTCATCTATTGCTCTAATAATGACAAGCAAGTTGGATATGTATTTAAACTCATGCTTTGATATCACCATTTGTTTTTTTTTTTTTTTGTTTTTTGTCGTATCTTTTACCAACTTTAACAGATGATTGGCCCACAGTTTGGTCCAACACTTTGTCTCTACTACGACATTCATATTTATCTTCGGTCTGCTTTCCTTTTTTCCCCATTACTGATCTAAGTTACACAAATGTAAAAACTTGACAAGTACAATATATAACAAAAAATTCAGTATAACTTTAACATTATAACAAAAATAGTGTGCCAATAACAGTGTAACAATAAAAGTGTATCAATAATTGTGTAACAATACATTACACAAACACTATACTATTACATTCTAACAAACATATATTTGCATATAACTTCATTCAAAAACAGTACATCTCTGTTTTGAATTTGGTACCACATGCATAAGATTACTGAACACAAGCAAAACAGAACCAATGAATTTGACTTTATACTTCCTAACATCATTTCAGACCTATATTCAAGCAATTGAAAATAAAAGATTATTAAGTTTAAAAAATCTAATAAATTAACAATTTTTCTAAGAGGAAAACACAAAATTGTACCATAGTTATCTTCAATTTTCTATTTTTATGTATAATGTTACTCAACGGTGACAATATGTCTGCAAAACATGAATTTAACAAGAACTTTCAGAAAAAAAATTCTCCAAAATCAAAATAAATGTAATGTATTTTGATTTTGGATAACCCATGATGTCAATACATTAAAAAAAAAGTACATGGAATGGTATTCAATGATCACCTTATTAAATTCAGGCCAACGAGCAACAATTAATGCCTATTTCAAGTTTACAAATGCCAAAATTCGAAAGTTTCTTCAAATCGCGAACAAAAAATTCACCATACTTGAGTTTGTGCCAATCTAACATCAAATGCTCTGTAATTTGATGTATCTTTCACAGTCAAAACCCTCTAGTCGTTTAGAGAAGATAGAAAGTTGGGCTTTTCTCTGAAGAAGATGAAGTGGTTTTCTGTGAAGACGAAGGAGTATACAAAACATTTTTTGAAGATGAAGAGATTTGAAAATAAACATCCCTAAATTTCAACGATTAAGATAAATTTCTTGTTACAGTTTTTAGGAAAGAAAATTTTATAAAATGGCCAGCTTCGTCTTTGTATCTCAACAGTGTATTTCTTTCTAAAACATTTTTTTGCAGACTTTTTTACAATTATGTCTAAGTTGGTGTACCAGCTTTCAAAGAACCCTTTAATCATTTTATTTTAAAATACTAAGTTCACCTCATCTATACCCACTCAATTAGTTACTAAACTCATCCCATCTATATTCACTAATTAAAAATTTAATTCATTCAATTTTATTTCAACTTAATGTATAGACAATGATCAAAATTTTGTTTCGATTTATTATTTTGGTAAGAAAATATTTCAAAACTAGAATAAAAATTAATAAAATTTTTTAAAATATTAGTCAAAATATACCAAAATATTTTAAAACACTTCAAAATATTCAAAAGACAAACCAAAATATCTTCAAATACCTCAAAATATTCAAAAGGTATTGGTCAAAATATCTCAAAGCACCTCGAAATAATATAGATTCCCTCGAAACATTGAAATTTTGCTTTAATTAATATTTTATTTTGATTTTTTTGACATATATTTAATGGTTTAATTAAATGGGTACACATGGGGTAAACTTAGTAAATAATGGGCGGGTATAGATGGGATAAACTTAGCAGTTTGAAGTAAGACGATTAAATGGAGCAGGAAAAGAGATTTCAGTGGGTGGGAATAGCCCCACCATAGAGTATTTCTAATAGGCTCTTTATTCCCACTCAAAGTCTTTATTTTAGGGAGCCAACAACAAAAAATAAGCTCCAATAGCCTATCTATTTAGACTAACTAAAATAGAGTCTTATTTGACTCTATATTTGAAAGCCGAACAAACTTTATATTTTATTAATAATGAATGAAAATACAACCATATACATATTTCATTACATACTATTGACTATAAAATAATTATTTTACCATAAAAGAGAGCCTATGAGACTTGGTGTATTAGTGTAGGTATGATTACACCCAATAGAGAACCAATTAAAGTTGTCTAAAATTTTTGACTCTATATTTAAAAATTGTATCTAAGATGCTCTCTATTTCAAAAAAAAAAAAAAATAGTGATCTTTATAATAAATAGTACTATGTCTTTTTGATTGAAACCTTTTTGGAAAAATGACTCCCTTCTCCCCCCTCTCTCTCTACCCCTTTACTATTCATCAAACCTAATCGATCCTACCCATGGTCTTCAAATCCCTTCCTTTGCTTGATTCATCCCCTCCTTACCTCTGTTCTTCCCCTCCTTTCTCTCTTCTCTGTCTCAAACCTTGCTCTCAAATTACCCATTTATGTTGATTTCTCATCCCCACTCTCTTATTACCTAGTTCTTCTATTTTTTTTAAAACATTACTCTACTTTTAGCTCTCCTCTGTTCCAATCGACATGAATCCCCCATTTACCTTTGCAGTTGCATCAATTCCAACATCAGATTTGGAAGTTGTTAACAACAACAAAAAGGATGGCCTCCCCCAAGTTGCTCATCAGGTACTCCTTAGCTCCATAAACAGCTTGGCTTTCAACTCCAAGGTAGAGAACCACATGCCAAGTGCCACCCAATTAGTTCCTAGTAAGATTTTGAACTCTGAGAAACAACCCTCTTCTTTTAAGGGCATGAAAATCAATTCAAAGCTAGTCCCTAGCAAAGTTCACACATGGAGTCAAGTAATCCAAAACCCCTAAAGGAGCTACTTCCCCTTCATTTGGCCAGGATCTTTTTCCTATGAAGTTGAGATATTTCTAAGAAAGATAACAGAGTGGTGGTTTCACCCCCTAAAGAAATTTCTTCCAAAGGATATGCCAACTGGGAGAACTCCTTAGAGGGTTATTTTGTGGAGAAAAAGATTCCATTCTCCGTTGTTAATAGCATTGTTCACAAGCTATGGGGGAAAATGGGTCTGGTGGAAGTTTTAACTAATGATAATGGGGTTTTCTTCTTCAAGTTTTCTTGTGATCTTGAATGTTATAAATTTTTGAAGAAGGGACCATGGATTCTAGTAGGTAAGCCACTGATCTTGAAAAAGTGGCAATCTAATATAGAACTTACTCAGGAATTGCAATCAAAAATTCCAGTTTGGGTCCACTTATTCAATCTTCCCTTGGAGTTCTAGACAGAAAATGGCTCGAGTTATGTTTCAAGTGTTGTGGGTAGGCCATTATATGTAGATAGACTCACTGAGCAATGCAAAATGATCATCTATGCAAGAGCGTATGTTGAAATGGATGCTAACCAAGAACTAATTGAATCATTTGATCTTAATTTTTGTGATTCCAAAGTAATTGAGATTAAGGTTGAATACCCTTGGAAACCAAAACTTTGGAGCCTTTGCAAAGTGTTTTTCCATTCTCCACTCACTTGTTCCAAAGCCCCAACTCACCAGACTGCTTCTACAGGCTAGTGGTAGATTGTTAAACACCCCAAGAGTTCTAAAACCTCCAATTCTAAAGATAAGGTGGTAGTATTACCTACTTTAGCTCTTCCAAAAATTACTCCGCTAAAAGAAGAAGTTAACCATCAACCATCCAGCAGCAAGAGCCTTCAAGCTACTCCAAAAGCCTTTGGGATCTCTCAACAACCACAAGCTCAAACTACTTGTCTGCCCACAACTAGTCATCAAGCTCAATGTAACCCTGCAATTGAATCTCCAAATAGATTTGTTGAATTGTGTAATGAAAACAATCCTATCAATGACAGTGTTGTCGCAATTAATGAGGATGATCAAGCTTTAGCTTCTCTTTCTGATGAATTAGTGTTAAATGAACTAGTTGCATCAAAAAAGGAAAAGAAAAAGTAGAAGAAGCACACCCTTAATCCTGGGGGTGCTAAGCTAGTTGGGATTATTTCCCAGAAGTCTCCCAAATCCAAATGATTAATTTTTGGTTGCTGGAATATTAGGGGGCTCAATTCCCCATCCAAGTAAGATAAAGTTAGGAAACTTATTTTTGATCACCAACTAGACTTGGTTGGTTTTGTGGAGACTAAGGTAAGGACAATCAATAAGGGGGAAGCTATAAGGGCTGTGTTCAGAAATTAGGACTCTTTTCATAATCATCAAAGTCATTTTTTGGGTAAAATATGAGTTAGTTGGAATTCAACGGTGTTAAGGGTCACAAGCTTGAGGAAAAATAGCAAATTATACATTTTACTGTCATTCACATTGATAGTAAGGCCACTTTTTTGTTTCTTTTGTTTATGCTCTAAATGATGAGAAAGGTAGGAGGCCCCTTTGGAGGAACATAATCCATCAATCATAGATTTTGACTAATAAACCTTAGGTCCTTTTGGTTGATTTTAATATAGTGAGAAATTTGCTGGAGACCATGGGGGAGTTGTTACTTGGAACCAAAGTATGTATGACTTGGAAAATTGCCTTCAAGGAGCTGAATTAATAGACCTGAGGTTCTCAAGTTTGTTGTACACTTGGTACATGTCAATGTGTGGTAAGGAAGCTTGATAGGATCTTAATTAATGACAAGTGGAACCAATAATTTCCTGAAGCTGAAGTTGAATTTATTGCACCAGGGTTTTCTAATCACAGCCCAGTCATTCTCAGAATGGGCGTGTTAAAGAAAAGAAGGAAGTGTCCATTTAAGTTCTTTAATTTTTCACCCTCAGCGATGATTTTTTGCAGATTGTCTCTAGATTTTGGGATCAGCCAGAGTTTAGAGGCACAATGCAGTTTCAAGTTTCTCACAAATTGAAGCTTCTTAAACTAGAGTTTAAGGAACTAAACAAGCCTCAAAAGGAAAATGTTTCCCTTAAATCTAAAGCTGCAAAGTTGGGGCTAGATAAATGTCAAAGATTACTTGACTCTTATCCTATGGATACTACTCTTAGTGCCTTAGAGAAACAACTTTTGCAAGAGTATGTTGGTGCTGCAAGGAATGGAGAATTGTTCTTAAGGAAAAAATCTAGAATTCAATGGCTAAAGAATGGGAATCAAAACTCTACCTTTTTCTTTAGAACAATTAATGCCAACAAAAATAGAAGTAAGATTATTATGTTGAGAGACCTGATGGAACGACTATTGATGAACCTGAAGAGGTTAAACATATTGTTATCAATCACTTTTAGAGCTTACTTGGTGACTTAGCTGCTTGTTCATTTGATAGAGATAAAGTACTTGGCAACCTCCCATGGAAGCAACTCTCAGTAAAGCAATCACTAAACCTGGCTAGAGATGTCACAGATGAAGAGATCAAGATAGTAGTATTCTCAATCCACCCTAACAAGGCTCCAGGAGCTGTTGGCTTTAATGGTCACTTTTACAGAGTTGCTTGGCCTATCATTGGGGGAGACATGTGTGCTGCAATCAAAGAATTCTTCACCAGGGATCAATATTTGAGGGAAAAAAAACTCCACTATTTTGGCCTTAGTTCCTAAAGTTCCCAATCCTTCAAAAATGGGTGACTTTAGGCCCATCTCTTGTTGTAACACGATGTACAAGTTCATTTCTAAGATAATTGCTAACAGATTGAAGGAAGTTCTCCATGAAATTGTGAGTCATAACCAGAATGCTTTTGTGCTAGGAAGAAGGATAGGAGATAATGTGTTTCTTGTTCAAGAAATCATGAGGGATTACCACAAAAATAGAGGATCTCCTAGGTGTGCTATGATTCGTGCGTAAAGTTAACAAATTTTACTATGCCTTTTTGGACTAATTGTGCTTTGATGGAGTTTACGTAATGAAATTTCAGGTTCTAAAGTGAACAAAGGCCCAAGAACAACAAAATCACACTTGAATGTAACACAGCACAA